TCCGTTTCTATGTATGTTGGTGTTTATTTTTGTTGCACTTCAGTGTTTCTGTTGTTCCGTTGTTTCCCTCGGTTGATGTTATGTGTTTCCCTCGGTTTTAGTTTGTAATCCGGGTTTTTTTTTCTCAATCGATTTATGACTTTTGAACAGAGGTATACTACTGTTGCTTAAATTTATCTGTCGTCTGTCGATCGTTGACATTAACAAAACTCTTCTCCTTTGAAACTATTTTATTTTGATTCTGTAAGGCCAGTGTGGCTTTAGCAATGAACAGTTATACCCATATCTTACAGGTAAAATGTAAAACAATTAAAAGGAGTAAGCCAACAGCCTGGTTAATATCAATTTAAAACAACAAAACTAAAGAAAATAGTCAAACAAAGGCAACAACGAAAATCACTGGATTGCAGACTCTTTACTTGGGACAATCCACTAAAAGCCAGTTGAACACTGATTAAAACTAATACATATATACTTTTTTCTAGAATAAGACATGATGTTTTCACACATTTTTCAGAAACATGAAATCGTGTAATTTCATTGGTTGAAAACAATTTACTAATTCATACGATCTATACCGATGCAAATGCCTAGGCTTCGTCAGTCAGTGTATTATTATGTAACTTCAAAAGAAGAGCCATCAACATCAAATTGTAAAATAACAATGAGAAACGTGTTGGACTATAATTCAGAAAGATTGCATGCCTTTGAGAGATTTGCTTATAAGAACAGAAAAAACAACTCGTTTTATTGCATAGCAACATCATATTTCATACAGAACGTATTATACTTAGCTTGCAATCATATTGCACTAGTGGATATTAGAAGATTCATAAAAAAAACATCATATTACCAAAACAGTAGATGTCTCAATAAGAAGTTATTGATATTTGTCCCGGTGGCGACTGCGTTAAACAGTTGTGATAAAGCTAAATATGTCAGGAGTTGAAAGCCATAGACTACCCATGTTTGGTCCATAGATGCTTCAAAGTCTGTCTGACATATGACATATGTCGTTTAACCTTAATTTCATTTTTGATGATTCAAATATTTGTCAAATTTGCATTCATTTGTCGTGCTTATTTCCGTTTTTAGAAACTAGTTACCTTAAAATTGATATTTTGTTTAAAGACCATATTATTGAGTCAATCAGTCTGGCATACGTCGCTGAGCCTTGGCCTCATTTTTACTGTTAAAATCTTATACAGTTTCGTGATAACAAGGAGGTCAGTTTCTAAGTAACTTTAAATGATAGATCAACTTTATTTTGTGTACCTCTAAAAGTGTACATTATATAAAGATATGTAAGAATCTAATCTGTTTCTCCAATGATTATCAAATAAATTTTCATTTTTGATAAACGAAAATCCCTTCGAGTGCCTTCTACATTCCACATGGTTGTGAATTTCATTAACACCGGTTAGAACAATTTGATTCATTCAGTGAGCTGATAAAGGTTATGATCCGTAAACTCATCTATTCATCTTTTAAGATCATCGGCAACAATACGTTGATTAATGTTTTTTATACAATTGGTACGGAAAGGGTTAAATTGCCACAGAATTAGAGAACATGTATTATTCTTCAGGTTTACATAAATAGTCTAGTACTAACATATATCACCTGAACTTGACCTCAATTTCAAAATCCATCGATTCATAATCATTTTTGGAGATTAGATTTGTTTCAAAGTATTTGAGTGATAATTCAACTAAGTTTAGGTTGTATATTCCCCATGAGGTCTAGACGGGTGGCTGACATGTAACCGGAACTTGCTATTATTTTTATGTTCGATTTATTCTTGTTCAGTTTTCGTGGTATGGTCTGTTTCTCATTAACTATAACTGATTCCAATATATTCGATGTGTACATTCCTTTGGTTTCACGACATATATCACATAATCTAACCTAATGAACATCTAGTTAACTTATGGTAGAATTAAGGACGATTGGGTTTTGTTTATAACTGCTTCAGATTCTATTAAACCTTTGTTTAGTAAGGACATTTTTAATGAAAACCTAGCTAGCTTTTAGAGTATTGGTGAATCTGTCTACAGAAACAAATGCCGCTTTTTTGAAGCAAGTAGCTCTAAAGCAAAATATCGTGTTAAGCAAATTTCTGTCCAATACTATGGCATCTCTACAATAAAAGTTCGCATATACGTATATAAACAGAAAAACTAAAGATTGAATGACATACACCACAAAGGGGATTGAAATCAACAACAGCACTGTCAGACTACAACATTTTTAAAACGTTTTACACATGGCATATCCAAATTTTGTATAGGTTTATAGGGGATAAATATATATAGTTTTATAACAAGATCAGTCTTGGGTGTTAGAGAAATTGCCAATGTTAATATGAATTCGTTTTCAATCCTATATTTGTAAACATAATATTATCATGGATATACTAAAAAGAGAGAGAAGAATCAAAGGAGGCAATAAAATATCAGAGGTATAAGAAAAATAGACAAAACGAAGACTAAAGAAAATGGCTTAAAGTAGTAAAATGCATATTGAGTAACTTAACTCAAAATAACTTTGAGTTAGCTCAGGTTCCTCCGATAGAATCACTCGTCTTCTTGTTGATGTTAAGGACTTCGGTAAAACGTTAATTCAGTCGTATCAATAAAATCTGGACACATTATCTGCGTAGTGGTTGTTTGATAATTTATATAGAAGTACGTTAAAACTACGATGTACAGTAGAACATGTAGAATGAGCAAAATGTTTTTACCCTTTGTAAAAGCATTTGTAGGTTGTGAATGCTATATATTTTTTTCAAGTCAAAGCCTCATAGTTTCATAATGCAATAATCATTATGTCGATAACACAAGAAAAAAAGACGGAATTCACAGCAAATCTTGTCATCCAAATTATATACCTACATCATTCATTTTCATAAAATCAAAATATGTATCTCTCTCCTATGCTATTTACATAAAAATAAAAATGTTCGAATAAACATCTTTCTACAAATCTAGATGTTCGACTAAACATTTAAAAATTTCATTACCTCTTTTTCGTGGTCAACTGCGTTTTTCATAACAAATGGGAAACGTATATACACATTTCATGCTTTAGGTCATGCAATATTTAGATTTGCAAAGTAGCACTTAATTTTCTACAACATACACACCAAAGACATATATGTTGAGTTTGGTGTATTGATATTTCAACAAGCAGTCGGTATTAAAATAGGTACTAATCGTAAACCACTGGACGACTTGTTTTGTACTCGCATGAAGAAATTTCAATACAAAACATTTTCAACGCATCGTTGTCAATATAATTGAATTTGATGCGACTGTCATACAAGTGAGAGGTTTAGCGTTATAAAACCAGGTGCAATCCAACATTTTCTACATGAGAAAATGCCTGTACCAAGTCAGGTATATGACAGTTGTTGTCCATTCGTTTGATGTGTTTGTGCTTTTGATTTTGCCATTTGATTAGAGACTTTCCGTTTTGAAATTTCCTCGGAGTTCAGTATTTTTGTGATTTAACTTTTTTTCAAATGCTTTTCATCACATTCAATCAAATGAACTTGAAACTAAAGATACAACTGAAATTAGAAAGTCTGTTTTCATTTTTCGATCTTTTTTATATTCAGTTTGACGAATATGGACGACTTTAAACTAGGATCAATAACGAATTCGGCATTGCCATTGTCAACGTCCCATTCCTCTGGAAGAAAATACCCTCTTCTCAATTGTAAGAATTAATATATCTTAGATGATACACCAGTTAGGCTCTGGTTCACTTCTGTCATATTTGATTTTCGTAAATTGAATTTAATAAATTAGACCGTTAGTTTTTTCGTTTGAATTAGAATGTGGCAGGGTTAAACTTGTTTGAAGGCGCCAACCCTCTCCTGACATTAGACATTGATATAACAGCACAACACAAGAACAATTTAAAATATAAAAATCAGTTAAAAAGGGCTTTTGTCGTTTCTTGCTGTATATTATATTCGTATTTCATTCATTGTTTTTTTTTACATAAATCTGGCAGTTAGCTTTCTCGTTTGAATTGTTTTGCATTTATCATGTCGGTGTCTTTTATAAATGACTAAGCAGTATGGGTTTTGCTCATTGTTGTCATTGTTAACGGCCGTACGTAGACCTATAGTTGTTAACTTCTATGTCATTTGGTCTCTGATAGAGTGTGTAATTGGCAATTATACCGCATCTTTTTATTTTTATTTTAACTCATCAGACCGATGCAAAAAAAAACAACATTTAACAAAGACACAACCCGGACGTGGCAGGGTTCGCATACATCACTTACAACAGCAGAAACACAGAGTACAGATCTGATAGTAATCGCAAGTACTGACAGCTAGTTGAACGCCATTAAAATTAACAGCTTATTAAAATATCATGTATCTAAGACTGAAATATCAATCAGTACACATCCAATATTCAATGATTATGTTATTTTTGTCATTTGAACTCTTAAAGATAGTTGTCTCATCAACAATCTCACCACATCTCATTATTCAATATCCGATAATAGTAAACAGAAACATGTAAGCGTCTTAAAAACATTCAATAATAGAAATATACAATGTGAAAACAAACTTTACTTGAAATCTTAGTTTGAAAAATGGGGTCTTTATAACAATATGTTTTGGCATATTGTATTTCCTATAGCAGGGATATCATGATTTAGTTCCTCAGGTATGATTTCACAAGGTTAATTAATCTGTTTGTATTAATTCATTATATTCCTTTTATGTTTAATTTAAAGTCAGTGACAAAAGTTTTTTTTTTCAACCGTTGTGTTTATTATTATTCATTCTAATGAAGTACATACACATTTCATGAAAATCGATGTTTTTTGCCAGAAAACTTTGTGTTTAAAGGGAATTTAAATATTCATCTCTCAAATGTTTCTGTGTTTCGTTTTGAAAATCTTTGATCATTTCAGCATTACTGATTAAACACTTTAGACATCCATCTGTCGATTATATTAATATTAAATATGCAAAAAAGATTTTCCATAAAACTTTTAATAATACAATTTTAGAGAAGGTAACCCGTAAAGAAGCTCCAATCGCCATATATAGTTTGTGATCCTAGGCCCGGGTAATGACGCACTCTGACAACATCTCCCTTGTGCAGATATATTACTGCGTTCATTGATCCTGCCACTGCTCCACCTCTTTGTGCATGCCCTCTTGATATTTCGCTGCTGTTCTGAACCATTTGAAGATGTAGAGGTGTATCTCCACTCTGTAGAAATGTACAGGCAAAGAAGTATATTCCATTAAATGGTGCTGTGAAATGACCTGTATGTTGGTTATATGCTTTACCAATATTGGTTATCACGTGGTCAAAAATAACAGTCTGCGTCGAACCAAGGGTAACAGCCGTTGTCAATCTTGCATGAAAAGCAACTTTACTGGAAGGGATCGGTGAACCTGCTATTATTCAAATCAAGTGTCAATAAGGTGAGTTATATAATTTAAACTAACATGAGCAACACGAATGGTGCAACGTGTGGAGCAGAATCTGCCTACTATTCTGGAGCACCTGATATCACCCCCTATTTTCTGGTGGGGTTCTTGTTGCCCAGTTTTTAGTTTTCTATGTTGTGTTTTGTATATTGTTATTTGTCTTTTGGACATTTTTTTTTGCCATGGCGTTGTCAGTTTATTTGCGACTTATGAGTTTGAATGTCCCTTTGATATCGTTCGCCTTTCTTTTAAATGATGTTTTTTTATCCAACTATAAATCAATGACGAATAAATGATCTTTACTCAATTCTTGTAAAGTTTTCATATATTTATGTCTCATTGATGCTTATCCTATATTTCCAATTACATATGTTAAATCAAAAATTGGATTCTTTTGTAGACAGATTGATAAAATAACCACTGAGAACATATTATTTGAATAAATTTAATTTGTTTAGTATCTCTATATTCACATTTTCCATAGTGGTTAATGAAAATAAACAGTGTGCATGTCCATTTTGTACTTACTTCTTAAAAAATCAGTATGTTAAAACTTACTATCTCCGAGAAGTTCGTTGGTATTCTGCAGAGTACTTATTGCTTCTGATAATGTCACCTTTGCTTTACCTAAAATAAATTTATTGTTAATACAATATTGTGAGTTGTTATTTGTAGCATTTCCAATTGAGACACACAACAAGAACATTACTATGTTTCAAATTTATTATAAGCAAGATAAACATGTAGCAGTATGAAAAGCCGATCAAACAAGACAGATCGATAGAACATAGTAAAAAAGCATGATGTCCTAAGGGTAAATAAAACATGAACATTTGACGATACATTTCTTGCAAAACCAGGAATGTTAAAATGGAACATCTAAAGTGGAAGACTGCAGTTGGTCGTTATTTGATTTAACAAGAATCCCTACGTTTTAAACGTATTGACTTACGTGCATATCGACAATACAAACACATATATCGTTATAATGTTGAGACACATGTGGACTACTTACCAATTGTTTGGCAGCAGTTCTCTCGACTGTAAACAGATGACATTGTTATGAACAGTATAGTGATAAATAAGTTTTTCATTTTAGCCTTTCCAAGTATGTCAGTATAATCATAGATGAAACATTAACAACTAGTCAACATGTTTATACTGCACATACTAACATGGAGCAATTTGATACCGTAATGATCTAATTGCGTGCTAATAAAAACATAACACCTAATACAATACAATAGTGTACACTAGTTTTTTCAGTTTATCAATAGATATAAGAAGATGTGGTATGAGTGCCAATGAGACAACTCTCCATCCAGGTCACAATTTGCAAAAGTAAACCATTATAGGTCAACGTACGGCCTTCAACAAGGAGCATGGGCTCACACCGAACAATAAGCTATAAAGGGCCCCAAAAATGACTAGACTAAGTGTAAAACCATTCAAACAGGACAACAAACGATCTAATCTACATAATAATCGAGAAACGAGAAACACGTATGAACCACGTCAACAAACGACAACCACTGAACATCAGGTTCCTGACTTAGGACAGGTGCAAACAAGTGCAGCGGGTTTAAACGTTTTAATAGGCGCCAACCTTTACCCTAACCTGAAACAATAATGTTACATTACAACATAGAAAGACACACTATAAAATATCAATTGACATGGCCTAACTCAATCAAAAGACATATTAACAAAAACAAGTGAACATACACTGAACGAATAAATTTGATCTATGACACAATGTAAATACAAAATTAATAAAACAAGGGGATTAGATGTAAAACAATATCAGAAAGACAACCATTACCTTGGACAAAATGCCGCCAAATAAAATAACGTACACAGGTAAATAAAAATAATTTTATTTTAAGGTATACATGGAGTACGGAAATATTTTTTACAAAATAAATAATTTTTCAATCTTTACATTTGTTGAACAAAATAAATAATCAATTCATACATTTGATAAACAGATTTCGCATGCCGTACATGTCACATCATACTATGAAGGAGTAACATTGTTGATATATACTCATTTGATTAGCATACAGTGGCTAACATTACATTCCTATTTTGGCCGAGAAAATAAATATATCATTTGAATATATTGACTCAGACAGCACTCCACAGATAGGTGTGTGGTTTAGCATTTTGGCCCAGGAATTTTTCTTAAATAAAAGTAAAATTCATTTTTGGATAGACATCAAACTGTGCAATTCGTGTATAATAGACTCGTTTCTGTATGATAGTCCGTATTTGCATATGCATACCACACATTGGTCAGGATATTATGTTTTGTCACCTTTATGTTGCATGAACTTTGTGAATCAATGTTAGGAAAAAATGAGGCGAAAGGCATCGAATTTTTATTTGTTCATTTGTTTGAGAAAAGGTATCACGAAAGGGATTGAAATTTTAGTTTTAACCAATTTATTTGAAAACATTTGACCCTTTCTGCAATATGTTATGCGGAATGGTTCCATCTATACACAAAAAAGAAATAACATGATGTTTTACTACTTAAAAACGACTGCAAATCAAATGTATGGAAGATATTAATTACACACATATACACATGTATGACACAAACACTTAACTTAATATATTAGAAAGTCAGGAAAAGAAATGAATTTGTGAGTCAATTTTAGTTTCATTTCCTATCTGTGGAGTGCTACCTCTTAGTACCCTCGTTAACTGTTAGTCTAAAGAAAACGAAACCTTCACAGAAAGCACCAATTAAAATATAGAACAAAATAAAAGATACAAAAACCAGCAAAATAAAAGGAGAAGAAAACTAGAGGCTCTAAAGTCTGTGTCGCTCACCATGGTCTATGTGCATATTCAACAAAGGACACTCTCAAACATTATAGACGAGAATAGAATTCATGACAAAATTCTCTGTTTTGTTGATGTTGTATTACAGTTCATTTATTCAGTTTAGTTTCTCTGTGTCTTATTAGATTTTGCTAAAACACAAAAGAGGGTAAAATAATCTTCATTTAAGGGCAATCACTCCTATAAAGAGTTACAGTTTACTAACTATATCGGCAAAATTTGACTTGTTAGTAGACCTTGCTTTGCTGATGATTTTTGTGATTTAATGTGTATTACAGTTTTTATCATATAAGGCAAAACGTACAAAAATGGTAAAAATGGTCATTAAAGGGCAATATTTAAGTTTCTACCTTTCTAATATAAGTTTTAAGATATAAGTGAAAAACGCAAAAAAAATGGTAAAAGTCGTCACCAAAGGGCAATAACTCTAATGAGGAGTCGACTAATCATTTTTGCATTTTAAAGTTTCGCTCTATCTATAATAGTTTGCAAGATAATAGGCAAAAATGAAAAGGCATTAACTCCTATAAGAAGTTGTCTGACAATTTTGAGGTATATGGACAATTGGTAGAGCTCAACATTCTGAACATTTTTGAACCGTCAGATTTTTCTCTATTTATAACGGTTTTCAAAATAATAGACATAACTTGTATTTTACCCCTATGTTCTATTTTAAGCCATGTCGTCCATCTTGATTGGCAGGCTGGGTCATCGGACATATTTTTTAAACTAGATACCCCAATGATGATTGTATTGTGGTTAAATTTGGCCCAGTAGTTTATGAGGAGAAGATTTTTGTAAAAGTAAACGACGACGGACGACGACGACGGACGACGGACGTCAAGTGGTGATACAAGCTGACTTGGTGAGCTTAAAAGGGGAAAATCGATAATAATGATATGGCAAGTCTTTAATTCACGATTCTATTTAAAGGGTGTTTACATTCAAGAATGTCCTTATAAATACTGCTGCTTATGGACTGTTACGGTAAATAATCCATCAAATCTCTTGCGCAGTCATGAGCATTAATGAATGCAGGATTTTTAGACCACCAGTAAACTTCGCATTTTATTTAGCCTTTTATAGTTTTATTTGAGCGTCCCAAAAAGTCTTTGTAGACTTAAGGAGCTTATGTTTTGGGATGAATTATCATTTATATTGTCATATTGTCCAATTCATAAATCAACTGGTTACAAAGCCTCCAATTTTTCGAAGTATTGAGGATTTTGAAACCATTAATAGACTACATCAGCTGTCCTTTCGGAATTTTTGGCCGTCCATGCTCTTTAACTTCGTATTTCATTTGCCCTTTTAACTTTCCAACGTCGCTGTGAGTCTTTTGAAGATTAAATGAGTGCGTGGTATATTTGATGAGGGTTATAGTAGTCTCAGAGTGTATTATACACTGGCAAATGTGACAGAACAGTTTTCTTTAAGTTAGTTATGAGTCGTACACTCCAACAATGAGTAACTGGTTACTGTATTTATTTTCCACATGCATATATACATTGTACATGTGCCATTCCTTGTGATTTACTATTATTTTATTCTTTTAAACAAATATGAAATAAATACATACATTTTTAATTTTATTTAGTAAAATTGTTTTAGTCTTGTCTGTCTTTTTGAAGTGTGTACGAACGTTTACGAATCAAATTTCCATATCGACCAATCTTTTGACGTATTTGGTCAATATATGTCAGGTTTCACAACAAACAAATTAAACTGATGATAACGTTGACAGACTTGTTTTAAACTTTTTTCAAATTTGAATCATTAGAATTATTCGCTTAATGATACAGCAAATATAGAAACTTTGAAATTAAACGTTTGTTTAAAAGGTATAAATTATAAGTCAAATTAAAAAAAAGGCAGTCCGTAAAAACTGACAAAATCAAACGCTTTCAATCAACGGAACTAGTGAAAAACAATTGCCAAATTACTGACTTGTTAAAGGCATTTTCAGAAAGAAATGGTTTGTTAAACCTGTATTCATAGCTAGCTGAACCTCCCACTTGTATGATAGTTGTTTTATGTCCGTTATATTGACAAAATTGGTTGAGTAACATTAACAGACATAATAATATTACAGTTTTTATATACAATGTCTCGCACTAGTTGGGGAATGAGAGCTGATTAGCTCTTTCTACAGGTTGGATGACCTTTTGAAATGAAAAATGAGAGGCGAAGGATACAAAACAGACATTGCACACATTGTTTTTAACGCACTCTCATACCTATATCTCTCGTTAGCAAAGTTCTTGAAAGAATAAAAGCAGTTAAAACAGTCTAAATGAATTACATCATTACTATGGATCGAAAAAGAAAAATTGTAAAGAATTGTGAAAAAGTTTGCTGGGGACTTGTGCGCTTGGAAATTGAAAACAAAATTACTGTTGCAATGTATCATTTATAGGTTATGCCTTTCCGGAGAATAGAATAAACAACAAAGAAAACATAAGATTGAGTAATACAGCTGTGGATGACATCAGGTAATTTGGTAACACAATTATAGATTGATTTTCGTTGTGTAGAAAGATAATCCTTAATGTGGACAGTGTATTGAAGCAACTCTTGGACATATATAGATATTATAAGATGTGGTATGAGTGCCAATGAGACAACTCTCCATCCAAGTTACAATTTATAAAAGTAAACCATTATAGGTCAAGGTACGGCCTTCAACACGGAGCATTGGCTCACACCGAACAGCAAGCTATAAAGGGCCCAAAAAATTACTAGTGAAAAACCATTCAAACGGAAAAACCAACGTTCTAATCTATTTAAAAACGAGAAACGAGAAACACGTATGAACTACACAAACAGACGACAACTACTGTAATCAGATTCCTGACTAAAGACAGGTGCAAACATTTGCAGTGGGATTAAACGTTCAATGGTACCAAACCTTCTCCCTTTTCTGAAACAATAGTATAACATCACAACATAGAAAAACACACTATAAAATATCAATTGGAAGGCTTAACTCAATCAAAAAACGTAAATTAACACACAATGAACGATTAGATTTGACCTGTGACACCTGAATGCAAATACACAGTTAATAAAAAATTACAAGGGATAAATTATTAAAGTCAAAAGTAAATAAACAGGTTTAAACAAAGTTAAAGTATAAAAAAGGGGGGGGGCTTTTTTGTGCTGACGTTAGCGAAGTTTTTGTATTTTTTATTGCCAAAATGTGCCAAAATGCCTCTAAAATATTAAAATTAGGTAAAAAATCAAAGGCTTAAGCTGCAGGGTATATAGAA